GTTAAAAAGGATGCTAAACCATTAACAAAAAGCCAAACCTTTTGAAAATTGGTTAAGTTTTGACCGAGTTATGTGGGTGGGAATTTTGACCTAAGTATGTCTGAGGATATTTGAGGGTACCATTTACACATGAATTTCGACCAAAAATTATGTTACCAGACTTAAATGCCAAGTTGAAAAGGGAGCTAAACCATTAACAAAAAGCCAAACCTTTTGAAAATTGGTAGAGTTTTGACCGAGTTATGTGGGTGGGAATTTTGACCTAAGTATGTCTGAGGATATTTGAGGGTACCATTTACACATGAATTTCGACCAAAAATTATGTTACCAGACTTAAATGCCAAGTTAAAAAGGGTGCTAAACCATTAACAAAAAGCCAAACCTTTTGAAAATTGGTTGAGTTTTGGCCGAGTTATGGGAGTGGGAAATTTTGACCTATGTCTGAGGATATTTGACGGTACCATTTACACATGAATTTCGGCCAAAAATGATGTTACCAGACTTAAATGCCAAGTTAAAAAGGGTTCTAAACCATTAACAAAAAGCCAAACCTTTTGAAAATTGGTTGAGTTTTGACCGAGTTATGTGGGTGGGAATTTTGACCTAAGTATGTCTGAGGATATTTGAGGGTACCATTTACACATGAATTTCGACCAAAAATGATGTTACCAGATTTAAGTGCCAAGTTAAAAAGGGTGATAAACCATTAACAAAAAGCCAAACCTTTTGAAAATTGGTTGAGTTTTGGCCGAGTTATGTGGGTGGGAATTTTGACCTAAGTATGTCTGAGGATATTTGAGGGTACCATTTACACATGAATTTCGACCAAAAATTATGTTACCAGATTTGGATGCCAAGTTGAAAAGGGAGCTAAGCCATTAACAAAAAGCCAAACCTTTTGAAAATTGGTTGAGTTTTGACCGAGTTATGTGGGTGGGAATTTTGACCTAAGTATGTCTGAGGATATTTGAGGGTACCATTTACACATGAATTTCGACCAAAAATGATGTTACCAGATTTGGATGCCAAGTTGAAAAGGGAGCTAAACCATTAACAAAAAGCCAAACCTTTTGAAAATTGGTTGAGTTTTGGCCGAGTTATGTGGGTGGGAATTTTGACCTAAGTATGTCTGAGGATATTTGAGGGTACCATTTACACATGAATTTCGACCAAAAATTATGTTACCAGACTTAAATGCCAAGTTAAAAAGGGTGCTAAACCATTAACAAAAAGCTAAAACTTTTGAAAATTGGTTGAGTTTTGACCGAGTTATGGGAGTGGGAAATTTTGACCTATGTCTGAGGATATTTGACGGTACCATTTACACATGAATTTCGACCAAAAATGATGTTACCAGATTTGGATGCCAAGTTGAAAAGGGAGCTAAACCATTAACAAAAAGCCAAACCTTTTGAAAATTGGTTGAGTTTTGACCGAGTTATGTGGGTGGGAATTTTGACCTAAGTATGTCTGATGATATTTGAGGGTACCATTTACACATGAATTTCGACCAAAAATTATGTTACCAGATTTAAATGCCAAATTTAAAAGGGTGCCAAACCATTAACAAAAAGCCAAACCTTTCGAAAATTGGTTGAGTTTTGACCGAGTTATGGGGGTGGGAAATTTTGACCAATGTATATATATAGGATATTTATGGGTAAGTCAGGGCCTTGCTGGTGACACTTTTAAAACAAAGCCTCTCAAAGACATTTGAAAATGAGTTTTAAACCAAACGGATGGTAAACAAAAAAGTTGAATACAAACGTTTTTCGCAGTTTTTCCAGACATGCGCGAGCAATTTCCCAAAATCTAACGGCAGTAAAAATTTTAGCTTTAAAGATATATTTATTTTACTTTTATACATAGAGGTATCGTCAATTCAGTTCAGTTGTTCAAAAGCGCGCTCTAAAAAATATTTCGCACCGGCGACAGGTGAAGGTCAATTTGATAGGAAGCTTAAGTATTTGTCGCACATACACACCGAGACACACACGCACACTGGCTTCTGGGCCGGAGCATCGTTGGGCAGAGCAGAGGACATTTTGCCAGGCACCGCATCCTTGGGGACACGACAACGTGCCTGAGACGCGGTGTCCACTTTGATTGCCGGCTCCAATTAGCGTAATATTCGCAATATGCTTTTGCCAGCGTTTGCCTTTTATTATCATTCCTTCATTTCATTTTTTTTCTGCGTTTTCTTTTTGCTGCTCGGCAGCAGCTCCATTTTCACAAGTTGTCGCCTGGCAGCGTTATTTTCGTTTCTCTCAATAACTAGAATATTGGCCACAGGAAAGTTCAAGCAGCAGCTGGTTTTAATTGCACGACATGAAAATTTTCATTCAACGAGCCGCGCACTTTTCTTTTATGTCAGCGCTGAAAATTGCCAAACCCTTGTCTCTGGATATTGCTTAAAGCATCAAACTAATTGTCAATTTGCGATACACGCGTTGCCAACAACAACTGGCCCAATCGCATTTACTGATAACTTACTCACATTATGGCTACCAGCCGGCAGGTGTGTAGCCAACATGGCTGCCGTTTCATTCACGGAATTCGCCAAGATAAGTAGCCGCGTGCACACGGTTCGGTGCGGCCGCTTAATAGATTAACACCTTTTTGGGGGCTACCTTTGAATGGTAGCGCAGATAGCGAAGCTTTAGGAAAATGGGTCTACATGTGCCGCATTATCAGTCCACCACTAACAAAAACCATCAATAATGCACCGAACGGAAATGCGAGACTAGCTCTAACCAGGCCTAGTCTAGCCAAAATTCGGGATTGATGAGACATTGGGGACAAGCAGACTTTATAATCGGCCTAGATCTAGTTGCCAAATAGTTCGACGTCGTACCAAAAGGCAATAGAAGATTGACAATGTTCGAGCTGGGCACAGATTAAGTATACAATTCTCATGCCCATTTAACAAATCTTAAAAGTTTAATGTTAGACACATCATAGAGCATAGGCGACAAGCACTTGGTACGCTTAAAACTAAACTGACTTAAATCCTTATATATGTACACTACAGCGCCGGGCCGGGCAGCTGTGTTAGCTTACTATTCCTCATCCTTGATGCAATTCTCGACCAGTTCGCAAAGATTTGGATTTTCCATGGCAGCTGCAATGCGTTCCTTGTCATTAATTTGCTTGTTAACTGCAAGTGGGATTAATTTTTTGAAAAGAAATCTTTAGTTGATACGCCAAAACGAAGCTCACTTTCTTCCTCAGTTTGATGGGCGCCCTTCTTGATATAAATGTCCAGCTTTATGTTGTGGGGCAGACCGCGTTCCACCTTGACGCGTATGCACAGCCCAATTAGCGTGGCCAGCGAGCAGTGCGGCACCGTGGGATTGAATTCAATGCGCACCTGTGTTGAACGAAATGTATTGTCATATATCTTAAAAGAGTTCATCTTACTGACCACCGAGACATTGGAGCGGGTTGGCGGCATTACGAATATACCATCCTCATAGATGACATTCAAGTCTTCCAATGTGCACGGCTTTTCCGGATCGCGTATAGTGCGCAGCAGATCTGTAAGCATTGAGCATATGATAATTACATAATTATTGTCATTTATCGCACTATTTTGCACACTCACCGTAAATGGTCTCCTGCAGATCTGTGGCATTGCGATAGCCCAGCTCGTGCAGCAGCGCATCCTCTCCGTAGGCAATCGTACCATTGTCCAATGACATTTGACTTGTTTTCCGCACTAGCTCTGCGGCGGCGGCTGTTGTTGTGTTGCTATTGTTGCTGCCACCAGCGACGCTGTCCGATTCAGAGAGTTTGCGCTTAATGTAAGACAACATATTTAGCCTTTTGCTGTTTGCTCTAATTAATGTTATGCCTGTGTATGTGCGTGTGTGTGTGTGTGTGTGTGTGTGTGTGTCGGTGTCTGTTGTTTGGCACGTTTGATTGGGGCGCTCTTATCGCTTCACTGTTTTTATCTTTTGTCGAACTGCGTTCCTCGTGTCTGTGCGCATTTGTTGTTGTTGTTGTTGTGGTTTATATGCTGCCTGGTTTGTATGCCTGCGCCGTGCAACATAATATAACTATTGCAATTTGTTTGGTAATGCACTTTAATTGTACGTGCCGTTCAAATGTATTTGCATTTCAATTTTACAACTCAGCACAACGAACTTAATTTTTATAAACAGCTGATTTTTGTTTTGGTATCAGCAGGGCTGCATTGGCAGTGCACGAGTTTTATACACAATTACAAGGTAATCCAATGCGCAGGTCTGTTATGCTCCTAACGTTTGCAAAAATGTGACGTCAGACAGACACTCTCAACTGTTTTTTCGCGCGCTGTTCGTTACTTTTAAAATAAGCAAATGCTCGAAGCGTACATAAATATTTCTATTTCAGATGCTTGTGTTACATTGCCTAAGCGCGCAAATTTTTGTATGCAGCCCTGGCAGCTGTTAAGCTGTGACGTCAAAGCGCTCTGCGCAACGGCTATCACGCTCGCATTTGTAACTGCTTATTCGCAATTAACACTAAAAATGTGTGAAGCATTACAATAGGCAAACATAATCGTTGTTTATTTATTTTATTTATTTTTTTTTGTTCGCTTGCAACCCATATACAACTGTGGTACATTTGGCAACACTGCATGCATCTTATCAGTGTTTGTGCTCTCCGCCGTTCATGCGTTTTGGGCTTAAAGAAGTTGTATATGTAATAGCTGCGCCGGCTTGTTTCACATTTCAACGAGTGGCAAATTAATAAACAAGAATTAGTGAATTAAACAGTTGTTAAGAGTATTTATCCGGAACAGTGTAAGTAGCACTTGCAAATAGAGCAGGCTCTTAATAATTATACATATACATGTATTGTTTATATAGTGCACAATAATGCTGCACTATGGGCAGTCATCAATATGTTGCACTATTTCGACTGCAGCGCCCATTGTACTTAGCTAACAAAGTAATTTGCAGTAGGCTTTGATTATCAAAATTCGGCACATGCCTGACTCCACTTCCAGATCTATTCATTTCGTTTTTGTTAGTCTTACGAATTGTTTCTTATTTGTGAAAGCTCGTCGAACGGAAGCAAATCTCGCTTTTTTACCCTTTTGAAAAATAAAGGAAAAAGTTCGTAAAAAGCGAAAAAGCCCATCGAATTAAGCCCGAACGTAAGTGGAAGAAGGTAAGGCGATAAATAATTTCTATTATTGTGTGTCTGTGTGTGTGTGTCTATGCGCGGGTGCAAAAGAAATTAAAAGAAGAAAAAAAAACATGGCGTACTCGAAAAACTGTCCTGGAAATATGCCGTTGCCAGAAAGTTTGCCTCTTTTGTGGTTTATTCGTCCCAGTCCGCAATTCGTTAGCGTTCTTCGTTCTGTGCGCGTCGCAACTTCTGCGTTAGCAAAGATTTATTAGATTTCTTCTAATAAAAAGTATAGTGCGTAGTTTCTTTTGTATTTAATTTGATTTTTTTTTGTTCTTGCGCGCAGATCATATACCAAAATGGTTGCCGTTAGCATTGATTCCGTCATTGACATTTCGGCCGCGGATCAGTCCACGGCCGCGTCGGGTGTGGCCATAAAAGACGAGCTACCAAACGGCGACTATATTCTGGTTGCCGTTGACATAGATACAACTGGACGCCGTCTCATCGACGAGGTAGGTCACACAGGGTTAATGAACCCTGACGGTGCGAATCTAACCTCACATTCTTATGGCGCCCCACACACCCCTCCTACCACCCTCCCTTGCAGATTGTCCAACTGGCCGCTTACACCCCGACCGATCATTTCGAGCAATACATTATGCCGTATATGAATCTAAATCCGGCTGCCCGTCAGCGTCATCAGGTTCGCGTTATTTCGATTGGATTTTTTCGTATGCTGAAGTCGATGCAGACCTACAAGGTTAGTTTGACGCACTTCCAGACATTTCCAGGTTAACTGCAATATATGCGATATTCTTGAATAAACTTGCAGATCATCAAATCTAAATCAGAGGTCGCTGCGCTAAAAGACTTCCTTGACTGGCTGGATCAGTTAAAATCGAAGAATCCGAATACGGATGGCATTGTCCTACTTTACCATGAGGAGCGCAAATTTATACCCTATATGATTTTGCAATCCCTCGTCAAGTATGGCATGCTCGATAGATTCACCAAGACAGTCAAGTCTTTTGTAAATAGCTTCAATCTGGCCAAGTCCTCAATTGGCGACACCAAGCACTATAGCCTTCGGAATCTATCGAAGATACTGAGCAAGGCCAAGGAGGACAACGCCAGAGTCGATAATGATAATGAGGCAGATAGTAACAGTAGCAGCGCTGATAAGCATGTAAAGAATGGACTCCAAAAGGAGCGAGATGAGTTCGATGGCAGTGCCAGCGTCCGCGCCAAGCTGACCTTTAATGTGGCTCTGCAGCTGAGCAACTTGGACAGCACCGAGCCAGAGTCCTCGGAGGCCTTGAGCAATCTGTTTAATGCACTCAAGCCCTTCACCGAGGCCATTAGCGGTGATGTCAAAGAGCTGGACACACAGAATGTGCACCTGGAACGTCAAAATTCGTTCCGTCCCGTATTCTTGAACTATTTCAAGACCACGCTCTATCATCGCGTGCGTGCCGTCAAATTTCGCATTGTGCTGGCCGAGAATGGCTTCGATTTAACCACATTGAATGATATTTGGACTGAGAAGCGTATCGAAGGACTGGATGCGGCCCTGCAGGGCATTGCCAGCCTGAAGGCCGAGGATAAAAATGAGCTGGTCGAGCTGCTAGACAGTTTCTTTGATCCAGCCAAGGTTACCATCAAGCCGATCATCAAACCCAGCACAATACGTCGTCGCAATAAACGCAATACGCCCGCCCACAAGCCGGGCGTCGGCAGCGGTTCACGTTCCGCTAGCGATGAATTCGGCGCCGGCGGGGACAAATCACAAAGTGTCTCTTCTGTGCCAGATTCTACCACCAAAACACCGTCGCCCATCAAAAACGGCGGCCGTCCACAGCGCAAACGCAATTCGCGTCCAAGCCTTCACACTAAGGAGGTGAAGTCCGCCGAGTCGGCACTGAACAATACGGCTCCGGCTAGCATCTCCTTGCCCAACTACGTGCCCATTGCGGCCACCAACTAAGGGGGCGCGGCGCAATCAAGTAAATTCCATTGCCATTTGTTATTCGCTTTTTACTCTTAACGCTTTCTAGCTAATGTAGCCAAAATGTATGTAGACCCATACATATATACATATTTATACATGTAGCTTTGATTAGCGCCTTCTGCAGCCAGGGCGCCCACCTGAAAAAGCCAGTGAATTAACCTGAAAATGTAAGCAGCTAGTGCGGCGCTCTGGCTCTTAATGTTAATTAATTTTATTATATTACTTATTGAATTTTATGTATAAAAAGAATCGAAAAAGAGAGCTTTCTAATTGAACTACCTTGCATTTGCAGCCACATTCAGAAAAATCTAAAATAGATGATAAAATCCACACAAAATTGTCACAAAGGAATCCAAAAAAAGAATGAAAAAAATACAACTGCGAACTGTTTTCCTTTTTGAAGAACGGCACAGATTAGAAACAAATTAGTCCAAATTCAAGTGTAAGCGTAAATTTCAAGTTGGTTTTTTTTTGCAACATGTACACGTGACTATCTAGAGTATATGTGAAAGGACATGTTAGTGAATGGATCTGAATATGAATATGAATATAAATATATATAAGCGAGAATATGCATATATATATGGAATGTAATGCATGTCATCTTGGTAAATGTACACACGAAAAGCTATCGTTCCCGAAACGAGACGAACCGAATCGAATCGATATATATACTGCGATTGGCTGCAAGAAATTGGGCAAATCACAACAAGATACGAAATGTACACGAAATATAATTATGATATTTACGGTGCAAGTAAACCCAAACTCTGGAAGTTCGTGCTTGGGCTACTGCTGAACACACACAATCCACATACACGGTAACTGCGCAATTTGGATGCACCTAATCTTCTGAAAAGATCCGAGATCTGGACTCTATATATGGTGAAAAGGAGAGATCAACCATATATATATATAAAATCATATAACACACACTGTATAATTGAATATGCTATCAAATATCGTTGCGTTCAGGCATAGTTTTCCAAAATATATGAATTACGGACACGATTGGAAAAATATGTACCCCAGAAACGCCTCGATTAGAACAACATTGGGTAAACCTAGGGAAAGAACACTGGAAGATTATAATTTATATATATATGTATATATATAATATTATAGGTTACCCAATGTTAGAAATCTCGTATTGAAGCTTAAACATATACAAACACGAATGCTCAACATATTCTGCAGGAGAGAAGATAGCTAGCTAAAAATACTCAACCACAATTTCAATCTATAATTCACACAACATAAATGCTCAAAACTAATTTCGCATATGAATGCTTAGAGAGAGGAGAAACTATAGCTGATTACACACTCAAAATCATATATATATATATATGTATATATGTATTATTTCAAGCTGTATTTCACACAATTGTTTCATGTTTGCACATAAGTTTGACTTTCATTTTCAATCAAAATAATGAAATTATTAAGCACCACCAAAGCGTAACGTATTTTTATTTCAAATTATTTAACATACACTAAAATTCACATTGGGTTAACGGTCGGCTGTTAATTAACATAACATACGATGTATCGATAGTGGCTGGAAATATCGAATGACTCGGAATGAACTAAGTGAGTGGGCAGCATTCACAGTAACATTTTCATTGCGAACAAGTGCTCGTGTGGGTAAATACAAAAAGCGTTTTTCTCCTGTTGCGTGCGATCAAATAAATTCGGCAATATAAGCGGTTTACTCAGCTATTGCACGCTACGTCAGTTAGCGTCGCTGCTAAGCAACATGGAGGTCGACGGCGATGAGCAGGATGATGCGCACACATCGATCTACGACGATTCCCTGGATTTTGGCTACTTCAATATGGCACACGGCATGCTCGTCGAGATTGCCGAGGAGCTGCGCGAAAAGTTTCCCAATGAGCCGCGCATCAAGTTCTCCCAAGTGAATACCATCTATTTGGCGGCGCGCAGCAGCCAGATGATGCGATTTGTTGAAGCTCTCAATACGATCAGCTCGGTCCCAATGCAAACGCATTTGGTTAATACGGTGAGTGTGCAGCAACAGCAGCAGCAGCCCTCCCCTCCCCTCCCCTTATCCTTCCAATGCATCAATGCATCCCTGCAGTAAATTAAAACTGTTAATTTGCGTAATGAGCGCCATTTGCTACTGCGTCATTAATGAAAATTTCCACCTATATATGTACATATATACATACTATATATACATACCTATGGTTTTTATATGTACAATCGTATTTGTTGCTGCGTCTGCTCGGCGATCTCTGGCCTGTTCTTTTGGGCGCTTTCTTTGTTTATCGTCGCCACATCTGGGCGAACCAAAGAGAGCAGCACCCCTCCGTCCCTTGCCCTCCCTCGCTCTCTCTCACTATTTGAGGCCCATTAAAATATAGCCAATGTGTACATATTGAGCGAGTGTTTATAATTCGATTGCTTGCAGCGCAGTAATTGTTAATTTGCAATTAATGTTCACAAATTTTGATACGCATATCAACTATATACATATGTACACACACACACACACACACTCATGTAGGTTTGTGTATGCGTGTAAACATGCCTTGTCATCTTCTATTAGAGATTGTGGACTCACTCGGCACCATCTTTAACTAATTATTCATATGTGGCTAGCTGCTCGCGCTCGTGACCGTTCTCATTCTGGATCTGGCCGACACGAACTTGGCCCAGTGCCAGTTCCTGAAATGTGCGTTGCCCGTTTATGAAAAGCCTTCAGAAGCGTGGCGCACTACGGAAACTGAGAAAACTGTGCGGAGACAAATACGCTTGAGGATCTCTTATTGAAATATGTGAACAGGGGGAGAGCTTCATGCTCCCTAGGTGGGCAGCAATTGCCCGACCTCCCTTATGAAGGTGAGCCCTGATCTGATCTGAGCTGGGCGGACAAGCTCCTGGCCCAGTTGCATCCTCTTCGCTAGATAGGTTTTCCACAACTTCGAATTGTTCCTATATTATATGCTAGTGCGTCTTAATGCTCTTTTATGAAATCGAAGATGTCTCCGCTGCAATTTGATAACAGCTTATGACTCTCACGTTTTTCGGAGTCTCTAACGGACTCCAATTTGAGTTTAAATGGAATTTCGAAGTTTTCAATGGAATGCGGGCGAACAGCTGCTGGCGAGAGCTGTAAACAAACCGAAAGAAAGCTGTTCTCTCTCGCTCTCGCTCTCTCTCTCTCTGTCTGCGCTCTCCCTGTGCATCAGCTGTGCTGTGGCTTGCTCTGCGCCGACGCACGTTCTACCCTCTGGCGTGTGTGTGTGTCCTTTTTGGTGAACAACCCCCAGAACATATGCAAACATGGGGTTGGGCGCAGGAATTCTGTTCGTCCGTCGGCGTCACGAAGTTTTATCGAATTTTTTCGTGACTGTCGTCAGGAGCAGAGCCAGCAGCTGCGTCCTTAACACAGCCACAGCTCCATAGTTAAAAACCCAAAAAAAAAAATAAGAAGCAAGCTATGCACGCGGAGCTATATCGGTAACAAGTCTAAACCAGGATTAACTAAAACTTAAACTAACTTTTAACTATTGGCACAGCACACGCAAGCGCTGGTACGAGTCCGCCTGGCCGGGAGCGAGCTTCTGGCGCGGCGCTGGCGACCAATTGCCGCTGACCAGCTATATAACCTATCCGGCGGTGAGTCTCGACAATGGCCCGGCTGGCAGTTTCTTGACCCAGTTGCTATTTTCGTAGAGCAGCCAGCGAAAGACCAAAGCTGCAAAGCCAAAACGCAATTGCCTCGCTTCTTATGGGCTTGTCAGGCCCTGAAAAATGTCTGTCGTCGTGGACTTTATCGATGCGTTGCCTGGATCTTGTCTGTGCATATCCATATGGCTGCCAGGTGCATATGTGTGTATACACACATGTCCAAGACAAAGAGCGAGTGCGTTTTTGTAATATTTACATTTGCCGTGCCAAAAAGTCAGATGTACATAGAACAACAAAGGAATACTCGTTGCACCTCGTTTGACAATTTTCCCTGCACGTTTTCATCGCTGAAAATGCGACAAAAACGCACTATTTTCGTACGTTCAGCCTTGACTGTGAAAATTGTGAAAAAGATGCGCACGCATCTCATCATAACACGAAGCAAAAATTGCATATACAGTGAACTAAGGCTATGATGGACAAGCAAGGCAGGCCAGCTTATATCTCGATCGTATAGAAAGAGTAGCCAAGTCCGGGATACCATGCAGAGAGCAACAATTGCATGCAGCTTCCCCAGATCCAATCCGGCCCAAGCTGTTCTAAAGCAAATCTGAAGTCTGGCACATTTGTATTATATTCCTTTTTCACGAGCAACCACTGTACATGCCTTTAAAAGTCTTCTCTCATTAATTTATACACCATACTCTCCACAGAACTTTGATCAGCCCGATGGCCAATCGCTGACGCCTCTCACCATGGCCGCCATGTCGGGCAATGTGACATTCGTGAAGACGCTGCTCTCGCACTACGACGTGGACTTGGAGCGGGAATGTAATGTCATATTTGACGGATTGGTGGTATATGGAGCCACAGCTCTGTGGGTTGCCGCGGGCATGGGTCATCTGCAGATCGTCAAGATGCTGGTGCAGGCAGGCGCCTCCATCAATCACAATACCAAGGCGCAGTCGTCGCCGCTGCGTGCTGCCTGCTATGAGGGTAAGTGTTGTCTGTTGCGAGTGGAAATGTACATCCAATTGTAATATCTACTGCTCTTGCAGGTCGCCTGGACATTGTTGAGTTTTTGCTAGAGCATGGCGCCGATGTGAATGCAACCAATTTGTTTAACAACAATACGCTCATGATTGCCGCCTACAAGGGCCACCATCTGGTCGTGAACACGCTGCTGCAGAACGGCTCGCGGCCAAACGATCAGGCGCTGTGCGGTGCAACGGCGCTGCACTATGCCGCCGAGAGCGGTCATCTGGATGTGGTCATTGCGCTGCTCGATCATGGCGCAACACTGCAAAAGAACGAGGCGGGCATTACGCCAGCGCTGCAGGCGGCCGAACGGCTGCACGAGGATGTTGTCGAGGCTTTCATTCAGCGTCCGGATCTGATGAGCAAGGAGGAGCAAATCACAGCGCTGGAGCTGCTGGGCGCCACGTATGCCAATGACAAAACCAAATACGATGTGAATCGCGCCTACAGCTACCTGATGCGTGCCATGCAGCTGCGCTACAGCGATCCGCGGCATGTGGTGCGCAAGAAGGTGCAACAGCCAGTGCCCGCCTACGACAGCTGGTTCGAGACTGAAAATCTGCCCGAACTGAATGCCATCAAGCTGAATCATCACTCCATACACATGGAATCGCTGGCCATACGCGAGCGCATACTGGGCAAAAACAATCCGGAGCTGCCGCAAGCCATTGTCTATCGCGGCGCCGTAATGGCCGACCAGGGCCGCTTCGAGCAGTGCCAGGTGCTGTGGAACTATGCCATCGATTTGCGTATGCGCAACAATGTAAGTAGACGACCCAAAGGCTAGAGCCCTGCCCTTTGGAATAACTTTAACGCTTTAATTAATTTAATCCAAATTTGCAGGTTAGCGTGGATCGTGATTTGCTGCGTTTTGCGCAGCTCTTTGCGCAAATACTGCGCGTCGAGAATCATCGCCTGACATTGGACAATGTCCTGCCCGTGCTGATCAAGTGCCAGCAGGAGATAGATAACAACAAGCTGAAAATGCTGAACGATAAGCCCAACACGTGCGTCAGTCTGTTGCAGGATCAGAACAATCAGAATTGCATCACAGCGTTGTATTTAATTAAAATAGTCACACAGCTGGCCCGACGCAAGAAGGATCAGGACATCAATGAGGAGCAGATACAGCAGCTATTTCTAGTTGTGCGTAAATTCATACAGCACGACACGCGCCTCCAGGATGGCCAAACGTTGCTGCATCTCGCCGTGAATGGTGTCACGCCCGTCGATGAGTTCTATACCAACGAAATGTGCAAGTGCGTAAAAGTTTGGATAGTTTAGAGGTTGTGTCTAATCTGGATTATATATATTTTGTTAGATTTCCCTGCTATGCAACCGCCCTGGTCTTGGTGCACTGTGGCGCCTCGGTTGTGGCTGTGGACGCCGCAAGAAACACGCCCCTCCACATACTGGTGACCAAGATAAACAGCTCACAGGATCGCCAAGGCGAGATGGCGCGCATTTTACAGCTATTTGTGGAGGCGGGCGCGCACTTGGATGCGGTGAATGCGGCGGGCCAAACGGCAGCTGCGGCCTGCAAGCAGGGTAAGCTCTCATTTAGTATTATATAGTTAAACGGTATATACAATAAGTGCTTGTATTTGGTTGTAGCTAACTTGGCCAATCTGCTGCATGGACATCAGAATGCGCACACGAGCCTCAAGTGCCTGGCGGCACGCTCCATCGCCAGCAACAGGCTGAACTTTAGAGGCCTGATACCCACACAGCTAGAGGCGTTCATACAAATGCACAGCGTGCACAAGGTGCTCGCATAAAAGAACGCAACACATGTAGCCAAAAAAGGAATTGGGCCAAAAACAAAAACAGAAACTCAACTCAAGTCATTAGAACTCTGTGTATATTTTGAGCCAAGACACAATTCTTTATGCATACTAAGTAAATGTGTATCGAATTTAGTGACTTAATTTAGCCAAATGCCAACAATATCTATCTATCTATATATATATGTATTTTAACACACAGACGCACACACACGCTCACATATATACATGTATATATGTTTATGCATATTTAGTTTAGTTTGTTTTTATGTTTTTTCTCGGTTTATTTTGTACGACACACTTTCATCTTATTATTTATTTACAACTTAACACACACACACAAACACACACACACACTTTGACTGATTGTTTGTTTGTAATCATATGTAAAATCATTTTGTACATTTTCTATATGTGTATAATTAATGTTATTGCTAATGCGATGGCGGCAATTGTAGAATCAATTGAATTGATTTTGTTGTCATGGCCCCTCAACAAATAAATATATGAAATACGCATTGATTTGTAATTGGTAGTAAATGAATGTATTTAGATACAAACATATATATTTAAATATGAGAAATCACAGCTGACAAAAACTACATATATACAGAGATAGCCTAGTTTTAGCTCAAGCTCAAATGCTTAGATCGCTAATCTTATGATTATTGTGTCGCACCTGCGGATAGACCTGCGGCTGGCGCATTACCTCTTCATAGGATGGCGGCGGCGCTGCAATAGGTAAATTATAATTGATTTGACTTTTAATTAGAACTTATTTACACACCATTAATCACATAATCCTCGTCGTGCAGGTAGGCGGGATTAATGACCGCATCCGTGGGATATGTGCGCTCAATGGCGCGCTCTTCGAGCGTGGATCGATGCGAGTAGCGCTGCAAATTGTCCGACTGCCGATGAAAATTGTTCATATAGTGATCCTCCTGCTCGATATCCTCGCTCTGCAGCTGGATCACATGCACCGAGGGACGACGCTCGACGTTCGTCTCCGCAATGGCATCCGTATAGTTTTCGCCGAAGCGAAATGGCGCCGACAGCGACTTTTTGCACTTGAGAAACAACACGATCAATATCCAGCCCAGTATGAGCACCAAGTAGACAAAGCCCAGCATGCTCATGTGTAGGCCGTTTTAAGGGGGCCGCGCAGGAGGCGCAGACGCCCAGCTCTCCCAGCTGCCAATCAATGCGGCACCGGACCCGACCACCGACTGTGCGTGTGTGGGCCAATTTTTGATTTGCAATCACGCGCAAGGCTCCCCAATGAGTGTGTCCTCTGAAAATCGATAAAGGCTAGCGTGTCGTCCTGCCCGTGCTCAGCGTGGTCGTCGTTCTGGCCGTGCTCATTGTTGTCGCCAAACTGACAGCGCGCGCAACCAGCGCGAGGACGCCTGGCCGTTAGGCAAATGAGGGCCAGCGCGTCGCCATATCAGCGATGACCACAACACAAATAGACTGCAGCAAAAACAAGAAGGTAAGCGTGATAATGTTGGGACTGACCGACTAGAGCATACCCTGTAAACAGCTTTGTATTGTTTCCCTAAGTTCCAAATATTTATGTATGCAACGCATAGAAGGACACATCTCCGACCCTATTTAGTATATATATATAAATATATTATTGATCGGCATCAAAAGCCGAGTCGATATAGCCATGTCCGTCTGTCTGTATATGTCCCCCTTTCTGCTGCATGCAGTACATATGTCGGAACCGGCTGGAAGGTTCGATCATTTAAACTTCGGCGTGCCGAACCCTTCTTGTTATAAATCTTGTGTTTCGGCAATGTCATATGATAATTTATACCTCTAAATATTCATTTTAATCTCAAAATGTAAAAAAATTTGTGTGAAGAGAATCGGCATACCGATTATGTCTATAATTTTTGTATTCTATGAGTTAGGCTCAAGGAATCTATATTGTTAATCGACATTTATTGGGTAAATTTTTATCTATAACTTAAAATAATCTTGATCTGAGTAAGGCAGATATTGCCAACAAGTAGTCCCTGATAGCTTACAGTAAGGCAAACGCACGCACATAGCTATATACCGCACTTTCAATGTGTACAGGGTATTAAAATGTTTGAGCAGCGCTGAGCCAACTTTGATTTCTTGGTGAGCGACAGCCAATAAACAGTGCCAACTAGACTGAAACGCTCCTCCTTGAATCCCGATTATCATGTTTGCTTTCTTACGCTAATTTTCCGGCGTGTACCCAAATCCTTAGGGAGCTCCGGTTATGAGCTCATTGCATGTCTAATTGTCGAATTCAGCTGAAAGCTGGGCGTGCTGCTGTGACGTCATATGCATGTTAATATCCCACTTAACATTATGCGTTCACACACTTACTATATTTGTATATAAATAGTACAATACCAAATGGCTGACCTTATGAAGGTTTCGATTTTTTGTTTTATGCACCGCTGTCGAACTCCGCCCACAGAGGCATTTGAAAACAATTTGTATGGACTGCATTGTGTGTGTGTTTATTATGATTATTCTGGTACTTTTAACATTTATTTATCCTGTTGCTTACTTATAATTTGTTTTGTGTGTGCTTGGTATGTGGTTAATAAATTATTAAAGCCTTATGCCTAGGGTCATGACTTACAATTTCTTAGGGCTAGAGGCTAACATTAGGGACAGAGGCGTCGTAAATATTTAATTCACTACTTCTAACAAACTTGTTACGATTAGCGTACAGCAAGGGAGAATAGTTCGCTGCGGAGTGCCGAAGTCTAAATACCCTTGCGTACAAATAGAGGTTCATTTTATTCCAAATTAAGAATACATAAACTATCTGCAAGGGCATAAAGTTAGGTATGCAGAGGGAAATATATATAGATAATTTCTCTTAGAATTTTATAGCTTGAGGGTTATTCCCAAGAAAGATACTTGCTTGTGTTGGTTAGTTTATGGCACAGTTTGGTTAGTGTTAGGCCAAGTATTTGGATTAGTGCAGGAGCCCTAACAGCGGCTCGTCCTTATAAGCAACTACTCTACATATGTCTTAGGGTATATCGGGTACAAGTGCTTGTACTATCACAAGTTTCCAGCGATTGGTTGGTTGGCTGAGTGCGGGTCGCCTTTCACAGGCTCGTCGTTGCCTGCAGCTTGAGGTAACGCGTCCCGTTCTCGGCATCCGCCATCCGAGCTATGTGATCCGAGGCGGCATAGCAGGTGGTCGCTGTGGGCGTGCCCGGTCTGCTGCTGTTCCTGCTGCTGTGGTTGTTGTTGTTGTTGTTGTTGTGGTGCTGCATGCTGCTGCTGTTGCTGCTGTTGAGACTGACATCGCCGGCGCCGGCGCTGACGGCTACGCCCTGGCGTATGCGTGTGGCGCCCCAAATCAAGACGACCACGGAAGTGACCAGGATGCCCAGACCCAAACCGGGCAGAAAACTCTTGTTCAGCGAATCGATGACATTGTAGCTGTGCATCAACGTTGGCGACGGCGGCGCGGAGGGCGGCTGCTGCGGATGCATTTGCTGCTGGCTGCCCGCAATGCTGTTGAATTGTCGCTTATTCAACGGATAATCCTCGCCAGACGCCAAATGCTCCGACTCCAGCTCATGCGGCGTGTAGTACGGACGACGCTGATACTGGCGCAGCACGGGCAGCGCGCCGGGACTGCTCAGCTGCAGCTGGGTTATGTTCGAGCAGCCAATGTTAAGATCTGCCTTGGGATTCTGCTCCTGCACCATGACCAGACAGAAACGGTAGCTGCAAAGGCAAGCAAATTATAACAAACGTGTGGGAATATATATTCAAAGTAAGTCACTTACCTCTCGCCTATGTCCAGGGAGGAGCTATCGGGCACTATGACGCTCACAGTGTTCTGACCATTGACGACCTTGCTCTCACAGTGGATCTACGGACAGAGAGAGTTGATTTTCGATTAGAGTCCTGGGTTGGTTAATTCATGTACATAAAATTCGCATACTCAAACGATTAGAACTACAGACTCGAACGATTCATAAATACGAAGTTCGAGCAGCTTGTTGTAGCAACATGTTCGAAGCGATTCGAGTTTGAAGCGAGCTAGATCGAAATAATTGTTCCAATATTCGAAACGCGTTTGAACTCTCGTTCCGTTTACTTACGGGTGAATTGTCTATGAGTATCTCATTGATGTTCTCCTCCTTGTAGACGAATATGGCATCACACATGTAATCCTTCTTGCTGAGATTCAGCAGCCAGGTCAATATAAGGCCGTAATCCGCCGAGTAGTGCAGTTCGTGCAGAATAATCTATGATGCGAAAAATGGGATTAAATTTGAATTTCCATTAGAGATAGAGAGCTGCTGAGATAGCATACCTCCTCCGACAAGTCCTTGACGTGCGCTGAGGTTTGATTGGGTTTGGCCAGCGTTTCCAGATGCTCCATTATATTAGCATTGTCCTTCTCCACATTGTCCATGTCACAGGTGAGCGTCTCGACGGGCACCTGCAGCAGCGGCGCGCCTTCCAGACGCGGCGGCGTCACGCAAGAAGCGCTCAAGCTGGACGACAGTTTGGAGACCTGCAGCCATTCGGCAAAGGGTCGTATGCTGCAGTCACAGGAGAGCGGATTATCCTGCATCTGCAGGCTCTGCAGCTCCTGTGCCCGATCCATGGCATTCCGTGCCACAATGGAGATGTCATTGCCGGCCAGACGCAGCTCACGCAGCGAGGGCAGCGGCGCAATCAGATCCGAGGTGAGTGCGCGCAGAAAGTTGTGCGTCAGATCGAGCATCGTGAGGCGCGTGAGATGCTGCAGCGAGGCGCTGGAAATGGCCACAATGCCATTGTAACTGAGATCTAGGCTGTCGAGGGCGCCGAGCCCATAGAAGGCGTGATCCTGCAGCACATCGATCTGATTGTGGCGCAGCGAGAGGCTAACCAGGCGGGAAAAGTTCGCCAGCGCCTTGTTCTGTATGCTCTTGATCATGTTGCGATTAAGATTCAGATTCTCGAGGTTGCGCAGGCCCGGCAGCGTCTGTTCGCTGAGAGGACCATTCAGATTGTTGGCCGTCAGATCCAGCTGGCGCAGGCTCAGGCACTGGCTCAGCGCCTTCAGGCTCTGCGCATAGTCGCCCAGCCGATTGCCGCCCAGCTTGAGCACCTCCAGCTTGCGCAGGCTGCTGAAGGTGCGCTGCGATATGCTCGAGATCTGATTGTTGCTCAGCTCCAGATACACCAGATTGCTCAGGCCGACAAAATCAGCCGTGCCCAGCGCCTTGATCTTGTTGTTGGCCAAGTCCAGGCGCTCCAGCGTGCTCAGGGTGGACAGCGCATTCCAGGGCACGCTGAGCAACGCATTGCCTGGCAGACCCAAGGCCTGCAGCGGTCCCTTGATGCCCAGAAATGCGGACTTATGCACACGCTTGATCTCGCCGGATGAGATGACCAGGCCGTGCAGCGAGATGCCATCGAATATCTTGGCGTCGCTCAGGAAGGTCACGTTACGCAGCGAGCAGTCCAGCAACGAGATGGAATACGGTGAACTACGTAACCTGTCCGCCAGCAACTGTGGATAAAGGAATATCGAAAAGAACTCGATTATACAACTGATGAAAATTCCGGTTGGAGCCCTAAACTGGGTCTAACTTTGAAATCAAACATTTTGCTTCTCTCGGAAGAATAATTTTCGCTCTAGACCTTTTCCTTAAGAACTAGGTGATTCTCCTTTAGAGAATGTGGCTTAGGAGAAGAGGGAAGCATTATTCTCTTTAATTCTTCTGTTCTTTGGTAAACGATTAGCCCCAAGCCCAGAAAATGATTCTTGTAAGATCCGTTTAGTCTACCTATCGTGTATTCAACTAACTTCACGGACTGACGTGAGAGCTACTAATGAAATGGAGTTGTCTGTGTACATAAGCTTTTTAAACAAACCTGTCCTGGATTATGTCTGGGTTAGGTCTACTCACCAAAAGTCCATGCAGATCGATGTTGCAGCGCAGCGTATGGGGCAGATCGCAGCCGCATTCGAGCTCGGCGTTGCGTGTGCCCGAAATGTTGGGGCACTTCCACTCGAGCAGGCCATCGGTGTCCACGGGCAACGGCAGCGAGGAGACCTCCTCGGCCTTGCGCTTCTTGGGCGAGCTCTTGTTAAAGTATTTGCCCGTTGCCATCTTCGACTTGGACTTGGGCGTGACGGCATTATAGGCGGACACTGCCGCAGCCGATATAACATAGGCGCTGACTGTGGTGGCTGTGGACGAGGTGCTGCTGGCGGGGGTGGAGCTGCTGGGGGGGCTGGTGCTGCTGGGGGTGGCATCCTCCAGCAGATCCTCCAGTTGGTTGGCTGTGGCCAGCGAAAGAGCCAGCAGCAGGCAGCTGAAATGGAAAAATTTCGTTAGCTCATGGAAACTTTTTTCATATTTTTGTTATTGTTGTTGTTGTTGTTGATATTGTTGACAAATGTATTTGTGAAATTGCATTTGCATAGAGCATAAGTGGAAGAATTGGAATTGTGCGTTTTTGTTTTTTAGGTCAAGCAGCGCAGACACAGCCCGCGATAAACTTACACAGATACAACTGCAGGCCGAGCTACAGATACAGATACAGATACAGATACGGTGCGATAGTCAGAGATACATTCCATACAGATATGCATCTGTGCAAGACAATTTGCCAATTTAGCGCTTAACGCAATCAAAGGCGTGCGATTTATTGTCCGAGATACTTTTGTAACGCTCGCATAAATAGACAAATAGGCTACGGCGACGTGACATCGATTCAACGGCCGAGCACACACATTTCCCAATTTTCACGCCATCTCTTTCCACAGCTGAAAGCGAAAGCAACGCAATAACTGTTCAAATGACATTGTTGTTGCAGTTGTTATTGTTGCTATTTTTGTTCTTGTTGTTGCTGATGACGTTGCCCCCGCATGCTAATTGAACTTGTTCTGATGCTACACTAATCAAGTGATATGTTGATTTTGTCATGAAATATGTCTATCAGTAATAAAATTAACAAATGATAAAGAGATCGCTGGTTCGAATCCTATGCTAGTTTATGCGTGACGTACGATGATTTTATCAAAACATATTTCCATTTGCAATTAAAACAATGAGCTAGTTATTTAGATAAAGGAAAAAGAGAGGTCGCTGGCTCAAATCCTAGACTAGTTCTTGCATGAAGTATGATTATTTAGTCATGAAATATGTCTATTAAAAAGAGAGGTCGCCGTTTCGAATTCTAGGCTAGTGCTCACATATAGCATAGTACTAGCTGAAAGCTTTCGGTACTAATTTATTCAACAGACTGGAGTTTGAATATATTGTCTTGGCATTTATTTATAAAAAGAAGTTTTCCAGCTCAGTTCGAAGAGCCCACAAAAGGCATTAACTGGATCAAGTGTCCATTGCCAAAAGAGATGCCTTTTGATATTTTCACTTCAGGAATTTGCATTAGGGTATTCAATCTTCGTCAGGCCCAAGTTTAGCTGTTTGATCTTGTTATTGTTGTGTGTCGTATGTGTGTCAATTTGTCTAGCAAGAAAACTGCGTGCGAGGCTTTAAAAGGTCCGATTTCGGGCGCTACGCGTGTTTAGTTGTAGTTTGGCAGTTGCTGCGGAAGCGCTTTACCATTAAAGTGGTCCAGGCACCCAAACGACCAATCAATCAGTCAGTCAGTCAGTCGGTCAGTCAGTCCGTCAGTCGGTCCATCTGTAAGAATCGATAGTCTAGAGTTAAACAAATGGCTGAGCGGTGCAGCAAATCGAACGCCATTGTCCTGAGCCTGAGCCTGATCCTGCTGCTGTCGCTGTCAGCGACGCAGTCCAAGCTGCTGACACGCTGCCAGCTGGCCAAGGAGCTGCTGCGTCACGACTTTCCGCGCAGCTATCTGTCCAATTGTAAGTAGTTGCAGTCAGTTCAGCTCAAAGCCCCTAACCATTTGCCGCAGGGGTCTGCCTGGTCGAGTCGGAGAGCGGACGCAGCACCTCGAAGTCCATGCAGCTGCCCAATCAGAGCGTCAGCTACGGACTCTTTCAGGTAGGTGCCACGTCATTTGGCCAGCGTCTGTTGCCATTGATAACTCCAACCAGCCCATCAACAGATTAACAGCAAGAACTGGTGTCGCAAGGGCCGTCGCGGTGGCATCTGCAACATCAAATGCGAAGGTAAACCCTAGCCTTAGCCCGTTTATTTACGTCAGAATGTAGCCGAAATGTAATTCCTTGACAGAGTTCCTGAACGATGAAATCTCCGATGATTCGCGCTGTGCCATGCAGATCTTCAATCGTCACGGCTTCCAGGCCTGGCCCGGCTGGATGAGCAAATGTCGCGGCCGTACGCTGCCCGATGTCTCCCGCTGCTAAGATCGCCCCTCTACCCCGCCCACCCTCCACCCATCGAAATGGCGCCTCTGGCATTTTGGAGGAGCCGAGTTCAGCTTCTTAGTTCTAAACATATATGCTAGCTGTTAGGTTTAAGTTTCGCTCGATTCATTGGTTCATTCAATTATATAATAGACATATTGGGTTCATATTGCTTCAAGATTACGTTTTTCCAAGAATTGCCCTTATCAGTACGACGGGGGAAAAAAAAAACAACACCAAATGCAGCTTTCAATTTGTTATTTAAACATTTCTCTGCCAATTCCGCCTTCTATGCCGTGTTTGCAATTAAAGACAAAGGTAAAGGGTATATTCGCTTGCATCTATATGAAGCTTTTCCTATTTGCCACGATTTCTATCTATGTATTGCGTAACTGAAGAGTTAGCATCAGCTAAATTTGGTAAGCTCCATCCGCTTTAGAACTTTCAGAATGGGTTTAATTGTGTCTTAATTTTAGTGGTTGTACAGTTAGGTAAAATGTTAACTAAAATGAGAACTAAAAGAGAACTCACCAAACGTAAGAAACGCTTTTAGTCTCAGTTACATTTGAGCACTTATCGATATTTATCGATTTTGAGTGTTTGGGCAAATGTTTTCGAGTAAATAAGTTCGATAAATCTTGGTGATCGATGGATTTGTCGTAGAGAGAAAGGCAAAGCCCTACATTATACAGAGTAACTCGCAGTCGTGCTGACCGCAAGCATTTGTTGAGATAACCAAATTTGATCAATTGATAAAGTTTTGAGCAACTGCTGATAAGTGCGAGCAAATACCAGAGGTGTTCAGATAAATTGCGAAATGCAGCAAGCCCAAATAAAGTGCTTTCCCCAACAAACAAGCAGCTCGGGCAGGGTCTGATTTGGGTATATATAAGCCTCGGCTTATCACTAAATCGCAACAACAACAACTACATTATTTTAATATGTATTTAGTGGCGAGTACTGAGACAGAGAGCGTAACTAATTTGTTTACTTGTATTTTATTCATTTCGTGAGCGAAGAGCGCAGAGCAGCCGCATAAATAGGCGGCACTGCGAGCGCAAGTTTCCATTGAATGAGAGTTTTTTGTTTTGGCAAGAATACTTTTAAATTATTTGCATTGTTTATTATATATATTCGTTTAGTATCTGTGTGGGGGCCCGCAGCGCCGCACATGCGAAGCGCCAGCTCACGTCCAAATTGAAACTATAAAGCCTCTCGAAAACTCGAATACTCGAATACAAAAGAACAGATCCGCAGTCGCAATCGTGTTGAAACTAGTTTTTTTTTTTTTATTGCCGCGTCGCGTCTGCTCCACAGTGTTCAGTTAATTAACAAAGGTAAACATTGTAATTGCTTCGTAATTAAGTCAACCAGTGCTTTTTTGCCAAAAAAAAAAACAAATTACTTTTTTATGCGTTTATTGAATACAAAGTATTTGGCAGTTGTTTTGCTTTTATAAGCCATTCGGCTTGTCGTGCCATATTCCTATTTATATATCTATTTGCATATATCAGCAGTTGTTGAGGCCCGATCGGATTGTAGTCCCACAAAAACAGAGTCTTTAAATGGGTTGAAATATACGATTCCAAGAGTTCCAAAATATATATCTATTTTCAGATAGCAGCAGCTTTTTCTTGGAAGTTGTTTTTACTCCCAGCCTTAGTTTAAGTTTATAAACTTAATTCCAAGAGCTGTCAATTCGCGATATTTGTACGCCCTCTTTCAGATTGAAAATAGAGATTTGCTATATCTTGGTAATAGTTAAAGGCGGTGCCATAAAATAAATAAATTAGTTATAGATCATTAACAATTTTATTATGCGACATATTCAGAGAAACGTTTAGGCAAAAATGTATATAGAAAACTTTATTGCTTTTGCTAGTTATCTCAGCTTTATTGTATGCCTATATACATTTTGTTTTAATCACAATGACAAGACTTTCGCATAGAAAACGTATCTCCTCGCTGGATTATCCGCAGCAAACAGTTCTCCTCTCTCTCAACAGACAGACGTGTGCTGACAGGTTTTCTTTTGTTGCTGGTTTGTTTGCTTAGCCGCGACTTTTTGGTAACTTGTTGGGTAAATCAATAGATATTGTGCTTCAAACAATGACTTAAAATATTATTATTCTTATTAATAAGCTTTAAAGTGCTAATAAATGGCACATCATAAATCCCATGGCAGCCGGACAGCTTGAAGAAGCCTGTCTTTCCGCTGAATTATCAAACCTTGTCTAAGACAAAACAGAAAACTACGAACTCCTAATGCCCTTTTATGTTATGATAAACAGAAGAGTGGAATGACAGATAGCTCGTCTAAATTAAGCTCGATTTTAATGCCAATCGATGATGCGCAATGCAAGCTTAAAGTTTTCCCGTCCGTATATTGATGCACCCAGCCAAGCCTGTTGAACCTTTGACCTATTCGTGTGTAGACAGAATGTATGCCCATATTTAATTAGGCGCATTTAGCGGGGTAGAAATCGAGTGCCCATTCCTGGAACCAATGAATATAATCTACATTTAAATACACGCAAGCTCACATACACTAACATTTATTTGTTTTCATGTACCCAAAGTCAACACAACTCGATTGCTGCCAGAAATGTCGCGTGAAAATGTTCGGATGTCGGTTCCACTGCTGCTCCTCTGCCTGCTGATGATGATGGGTGCAAAGGGTGTGGAATCCAAGAAGTATATGCGCTGCGAGCTGACCCGTGTGCTGGTGGAGACCTACAGATTCCAAAAGACGCTAATGTCCAATTGTAAGTATTATTCATCCATCTTTGGGCTTTGGTGAAATTATAATAATGTTAAACTATTTAGGGATCTGCCTGGTGGAGCATGAGAGCTCCTTGGATACGAACAAGGTGACGAGCAAAGAGAACAATAGCAAGAACTATGGCCTATTCCAAATCAACAGCAGGGACTACTGTGCCGAGGGACGCCGGGGTGGACTGTGCAACATGAAATGTGAAGGTAGGCGACATAATTCCTCTTATGTCGTTTAAATGCGATACAATTCCGAGATATTTCGCTTGTTGAACTTATATTCGATTATAATTCATATTCAAATGCTTTTCAGATCTCTCCAACGATGATATTTCGGATGATATTGCCTGCGCCAAGACCATACAACAGCGCGACGGCTTCAAATATTGGAAGGGCTGGAGTCGGTATTGCCGCAACACACAGAACCTGCCCAATTTGGATGTCACCTGCAAGCTGAGCACTTTATCGCCCATACGGAGTCCCAATTCGTTTTAGAAAGGCAGCATGATTCAAATATCTTCAAGCGGAGCTACTTATATTTTATTTTAAGAAATCACATTCCAAATTCAATGAATTTGCAATCCCAATTGGAACTGTTGACAATTGTGCACAGTTTTACTTCAGGTATTAGTTCTGGCTTTCTTATTTGTTAGCAATGCTTAAGAAAATACTTTGTGCATATATTTTATACAAGAGTTGTAAGGTAAATATTTTACAAAATATAAATATAATAAAACCAAATCAAATTTTTCCTTGATCATGGCGAAAAATACCGGGAAAATACGGTCCGATTTCGGAATGATATACCTCTTTCTACTCGTACGGATGCCGACTATCGATTGCCATCCAAAAATCCGCATTCTAAGAGATGACCCAAAATCAGAAAAAATACCAAAAATGACATTTCATAAACTTTGATGGCATTCGATTCTGTAGACCTCCGTGAGTTAACCCTCCCAATATGAGCGGAATCAAGCTTGATTTGGCCAAGATATGGCCATTTAAAATTTTCGAAAAAATTCGAATTATTATAGTGTCGTACGCGAAGATATGACGCTTCGAAACGACATAACCTCCGCCGCTTTAGAATTCACGGGGAGATATGACGCTTCGAAACGATATACCTCCGCCGCTCTAAAATTGACGGGAAGATGTGACGCTTCGAAACGACATAGCTCCGCCGCTCTAGAATTGACGCGGAGATATGACGCTTCGAAACGACATAGCTCCGCCGCTCTAGAATACACGCGGAGATATGACGTTTCGAAACGACATAGCTCCGCCGCTCTAGATTTCACGGGGAGATATGACGCTTCGAAACGACATAGCTCCGCCGCTCTAGAATTGACGCGGAGATATGACGTTTCGAAACGACATAACCTCCGCCGCTCTAGAATTGACGCGGAGATATGACGTTTCGAAACGACATAGCTCCGCCGCTCTAGAATTGGCGGGGAGATATGACGCTTCGAAACGACATAGCTCCGTCGCTCTAGATTTCACGGGGAGATATGACGCTTCGAAACGACATAGCTCCGCCGCTCTAGATTTCACGGGGAGATATGACGCTTCGAAACGACATAGCTCCGCCGCTCTAAAATTGAGGGGGAGATGTGACGTTTCGAAACGACATAGCTCCGCCGCTCTAGAATTGACGCGGAGATATGACGTTTCGAAACGACATAGCTCCGCCGCTCTAGAATTGTCGCGGAGATATGACGTTTCGAAACGACATAGCTCCGCCGCTCTAGAATTGTCGCGGAGATGTGACGTTTCGAAACGACATAGCTCCGCCGCTCTAGAATTGACGCGGAGATATGACGTTTCGAAACGACATAGCTCCGCCGCTCTAGAATTGTCGCGGAGATATGTCGCTTCGAAACGACATAGCTCCGCCGCTCTAGATTTCACGGGGAGATATGACGCTTCGAAACGACATAGCTCCGCCGCTCTAAAATTGAGGGGGAGATGTGACGTTTCGAAACGACATAGCTCCGCCGCTCTAGAATTGTCGCGGAGATGTGACGTTTCGAAACGACATAGCTCCGCCGCTCTAGAATTGACGCGGAGATATGACGTTTCGAAACGACATAGCTCCGCCGCTCTAAAATTGAGGGGGAGATATGTCGCTTCGAAACGACATAGCTCCGCCGCTCTAAAATTGAGGGGGAGATGTGACGTTTCGAAACGACATAGCTCCGCCGCTCTAGAATTGACGCGGAGATATGTCGCTTCGAAACGACATAACTTCCTTGATTTGGTCGGTCAGTTTTGATACAAATCCCAGCTGAAGTACCAGGCGAACAGAATCAGCAAGTAGGTTTTGTATCCACCATACAAAATAAAAATCAGCGACTGATATTTTTCTTTGCATACCTTAAGGGGCATATTGGGCCGTTAAATTTA